CGTGGGTGCACTTTATCAAAGCGCCAGGCGAAAGCTAAAAACAAACTGCGGTCGCCCAACGCCATTTTGACTTACAGGCAGGCGCCATCTTTTTTTGAATTGCCCTAGGAACAGGGTATGTCCCATCAGGCGTCTCTTTTGGTAATGCAAAGTTGTAGGGCATCTAAAAATAACATTCTAGGATATTCCGTCTTCGTTCTGGCCAAGTTTTTGTACCTACCATGTTCCATTTTTGCATTTCTTTTTTGCTCGCCCCCCCACACAACCCCGTTGCACTTTGCTGCTGCTTTGTGGGTGGTGGAGAGCTACATAGCAGGGGGAATGAGTAAGGGGGGGGGGGATACAGGAAATACATGGGTAAGAGGGTTACCAAACAGCAAGGTTTTTCCAAGTGAAAAGCTTTTGCAGCTAGCACGCGCACGCACTTCCGTTTCTTGTTGTCTGTGGAGGAGTCCCCTCCCCTCCCCTCACCCCACGCTGTGTGCATTCCAGTCGCTCGGTCCGAGAAGTGCTCCCCCTTCCACCCTCACTACCACCAGCCCGCAAGGCTGTTTAGTTAGCCCCATGGCTTTGCCCATATTCCTGCCCGTATTCATGTTATTCATTGAAGGACAATTTTGTCAGCTGCATATGCAAACAATTACCGCAAAATAAAAGGTAAACAAAATTACTTCCGAGTAATTTCGCGTGCAAAAACACAACTCAAACACACACACACACTCCACTCCCTCTTCTCCACCCACTGGTACCCATTTAAGCACTCCCCCTGCACCCTCTGGCACCCATTTAACCACTCCTTCAGCCACACGCATCCCTAATGCATGTGTCTATATGGCAAATTATAACTTTTGCTTCTTGTTTGCACCATGAAAATTCAGTGGCGCGGAACAAGACTGTGCCGCAAAAAGAAATATTAAAAAAAAAAGGAAGAAATATTCTACGTGATAGAAAAAATTAGGCAAACTGCAAAGAAAAATCACAAAATAATGAAAAAGGGGAAGCGTTAGGCGCAGCCCAGTCAAAAGAACAATTTTCATTTAATCTTCTTTAGCTTTCACTTAGCTTTCAAATTTAAAGTATTCTCTCTCTCTCTCCCTGTATCCTGTATACTCCTGTTTCGCATAAAATCCCCATCAATAGGTTTTTGCAGCTGCTCTAGTCATCAGCATAAATCAGAGACTTATGCCGAAAGTATTAATAAATATTGTCAAGAGTACTGCGGCATTACCTTCATTCGCAGTCAGTCAGGCAGACAGGCAGGCAGACAGGCAAGCAAGAAACGAAGATGCATCCTTGGCATCATCCTGCCACTTAAGAGCACTTCCAAACGGATGCATAGAGCAGCTCAACAACAGGAACCGAAATTTGTGTGTTGTTTGTTAACTCTCTGAACTTTCCATCAGTTTTTGGTAGCAGCCAAAGTAAGTCCCGAGTCCTGTGTGTGTCTGTGTCTGTGTGGATAATACGGAGAATGCCTATCAAAAATGCCTATCCATTCAGTCAACATCCAGGCGGCTTATGTTCTTCTAGTACACCTCCCCCTTCTCATCTGGGGCTGCATTTTCGAAAAGACTTAAAAACTCTTCCTCTTCTTTGCTTGGAACATGAAAAAGCCAAAAATCAACGAAGCTCAAGCCCCAATGCAATCAATGGCTTAAACAGATGACAACAAAAGGAACAACATCAATGGGCAAACATCTCTAGCAACTTGTCATACAAGCCAGGCACTTTTCCGGCAAAGGAAGTACCCATTTTTCCCCAGATTTTCATCACAATTTTTGGCTGCCTGGCTTTTTGGATTTTTCGACCAAAAAAGCAAACACAGTGTTTGTTGGGTATTGCATATTGCAAAATCAGGATGATTGAATGGATCTCGCTGTCTCTCTCTCCCTCTCCCACTCCCACAACTCTCTCCTTTGCTCTCTCTTTGCTGCTTTCCTCTATTTTCCATTGTCTTATGTTGTGTCTCTCGGCAACAAATTGATAAAAATTGAATAAAAATAATGCATGGCCTGGCGATGAGTAAGCCATGCGTGTGTTATTGGTTAAGCCAGAAAGCCACTACAGCCACTAGCCAACAGCAAGCCAAGGCCATCCAGGTGCTTGCCTTGCCTGCCTACTGCTGCTGCTGTAATCCAGCAAATGGAACATGAATGTGTGCTGGAGATGGGAGCGTGAATATGGGATTGGTCACTACAGAATATTTAGAATTAAAATTTAGAATGTAGGATCATGTAGAAAATATACTAAAATAAATAATGTAGAATGTAAATATTACTAAATACTAAACCCCAAGACACATGTTAAACATGAAACATAGGTTTGAAGTTAAATTTCGTTATTTTTTCCATGTGCAGCAGATTTGATGGGTATTTGTTTTAAGTCACATAAAACAAGAAGATGGAAATGCAAATGCAATAAGATATTTTCAGGATTCCAATGCTTACACTCGAGGCTTTTCAAAAAGGTATCACTTGTTCAATTTTAAAGACTAGAAGTGTCCCAAAAATAATCCAGAAAGTGATGAGGTGGTGGCACTACTATATCAATTTTTAGGTGCGAAATGTGGCACAGAATGTAATTGTATAATTAAAGGACTAGCCAGAAGCTTTCTTCTCTGCATTGAAAAGTGCTTCTAAAAAAAATACATAATTCTAATGTAAAGTAACGTTCGATTCTTTCAGTTCCTCCCATTAATCGGGTTGTTTGTATGCTTGGCCTCGGACCATCTCTAAAATTCATATTGCACGCATCGCACCGCCTCGCCAGCTTTTCAAGTAATATATGAAAAATATTGCATAGAAAATAAGGAAAACTACTGCTAGCCGTACACTCGGAAACTCGATTGGCAACACTTACACAAGCAGCCAACTGATACAAGGATGATGCACACGCACATGTAGTACATTTGCGCCTACAAGTGGGCAATAGACTTAACAATCTGCTACGTATTTGCGCACATGATTTTACACACTACTCGCCCACCACCCACCACACATGGGTGGTGCCTGGGGAGTGCCTGTTGTTCTTGTTATTTGTAGTGCTACTCCTTGCGGAATACCCTACTTAATGAGGGTATAACAGCTAAGTAGAACCTGGCAATTTATGTATAGTTCAAAGAGCGCTCCCAACACAGATTCGAACAGATCCTCCATTCATTTTTAGTCCATTAATTATAGAAGAAAAGCCTTAGAGAAAATTATACCCCCCACCCACTGTTAAAGAGCATACAAATGCCTCTGCAACAAACATATTTCCATATTCTTTTCTATCATTTTTCACCATGAAGATATGTCCGCAGGTTGTTTGCACGGTTGTGCCTCCCCATACGTGGCTGGGCTGCCAACTCTCCTCTGTGTTTGTGTGTTGTGCTGCATATGGAAGCTACTATGGCTACGGCTACGATGATGGCAGGCCTGCAGCTCTCTGGGGGGCGGTGGGTTGGCCACAGATGGGTGGTGGGTTGGTGGGTTGGTGGGTTGGTGGCAGTGACAGCCATGAGGTGCGTCGTCGTGGTGGCATCATAATGCTAATGATATTTGCTTTAAAGAATGGCAGCAGCGAGTGGAGTCAGGTAACAGGCAACAAGAAGCAGGAGGCAACATCCCAGTTAGCAGCTGCTACGCGACTATGGCCAGGACTTTAGTTGATGAAAAACTCTTTAGAAATGCATTAGTAATTTTTGCCGTGGCTTGTTCTGGGTGCTGCCTGCCTGCCTCTATCCTTCTGTTGGTGGGGGGGTTTCTGTTTTTGTTTTCACAGGTTTTCACAGTCAATTGACCAATGAAATGTGCAAAAAGGAATGAACCGTGTCTAATGTGATGGCAGGGAATGGCGGCGCTCCTGTGTGTAGCCTCCTGTGGGGTTCATGGGTGCCGTATAATTGCGATTAAGTTCAATTGCTCACAGATGTACGGGAAACTCTTCGTTAAATGATTCTCCTTTCCCCTCTTAATTTGGTATTAATTCTTCTTAAAAGAAAAACAGATTTTGAGCTATTATAAGCTTTTAATTTTCGTGAAAAATACACGTATAATATTCGCATGATATTTATTTTAAATAAATGATTAAAAAGTAGTCTGTTAATTGAGTTTATTTGTTGCTTGGCTAATTTTCAAATAACTCTTTTTCCGTTTGAGCTTCAATTTACCACCGCATGAGCTTTCAAATTTGATTTTATTTTTGATTTTCATATTTAATTATATTGCTTGTTGTTTAAAAAGTGATTTTATAAGCCAATTTAAATGCATTCTAACCATTAAATCGATTTTCAGGCCACCAAAAGCCAACAGTTTATATAAATCAAAATTTGTTCATAACTTCCCCCCGCCTACCCCACTTAATTGCCACTCAATTTGTGGAGTCTCTTTTATTGAATTTAATTTTCAAATGAATATGCAAAATGCAAAATTTTCTTAAATGCTATGGCATATTGGAAAATTAAATGCCGCAGCTGTGCTAGAAATGAGCAATAATTAAAAAACCAAAAAATGAAATTGGCAAAATAGCCACAAAATTAACGATACGAAATGACATGGACAAACAAAATACAAATATTTCGTATAATAATAATAATAATTGACAGCTCATTTGATTTTAATCATTTGAAAATAGTGTTAAAAACGAGCCATTTAATGTGAATATCCATGAAATCTGTGCTGCCATTGTATCCGCATTATCGTATGCCATATTTTGGATGGCTTTTTGTGGTAACGCACGTGGGGAGGTGTTCTGGGAAATAAGTTTGATTAAAATGTTAGAAATATTTTTTATTGAATAGAACGAAAAGAAAGTATTTCGATCACAGAAAAAAACATGGAATAATAGAAAGATATAGCCCTCGGACTGCTGTCAACATTTAGGGATCATTCTGTGGTGCTTCAAGATACCTTCAAGTATCGCCGATTACCAAAGCAACTCCAGGAAGTCTTCAATTTCGATGACTGGCTTATTTCATACTTTAAATGCCAGGCCCCACAATACCTAAACTACAGAACAAAGTAGTGATCAAGTGTTTAATTTCAAACGTACGAAAGTAATTACGAAAAATGCCCACATCAACATATTCGTTTGCTCAAAAGTCACACAAAATCTCGGCTAAGTTTGTGTTTATTTTTAACAAATGTAACAAATTTTTTAAGTTTTTGTACAAATTTAGCATTGGCTCGACAATGGCAAAATATTCGTTGTATCCCGAGGAACGCGAGACGCTGGACAAATGGCTCCAGCAATGGAACATCAAGCTGGACTACTGGACGCGCAAACAGTTCCGGGATGCACTGCCCGTGGCCAGACTCGTGGATAAGGTGCACAGGGGTCTGGTGGATCTTAGCATTTACAAGCCCTGCACCAGCGTCACCATGATGAAAAATAGCTGGAAAATATTTAAAATTCATGTTTTGAATACACTGAAAATTGGTCTATCCGATATGGACTTGGAACAGCTGGCCCTGGGCACCACTGATGCAATTGATACACTGCTATTTTGTATTATGTACAGCCAGAAAGGCTTTACAGCCTCTGACTAAATGATTTTGCTTATTCGATTAATAAATTATTAGAGTACATTTTTAGCAGAAATTACAAGCAGGAATTGTGGCGTGTGATTAATAGTATAGACTCTAGAGATATTTATTCGCTGCTCCAAAGAGTCACTAAATATTTTACAGACTTATATTTTAGTTGCTCTTTTCCATATTAAAATGTAAATTTATAGTCTGTTCGATGCCACTGGGGATTGTTAATTCTTTATGTTCCCGTAACTTGGAACAGCCCATTTTTAGCCATAATCTGTTGACTTTTTTTGCATATCGCAGCACTTTTATAATTCGCAGAATGAATGAAATGTCAATGAGGCTATAGATTTTGCACCTGTGACAACAACACAAAAAACACTCGAAAATTGTAATTAAATCATGAGTCCAACGAATGAAGGGTTCGTTACCCCACTCCTCCCTTTATCGGCCACTCATACACGCACTCAAAAAGCGTTTCACGACGACGATGATGACGATGATGATTGGGGCGTGGGGGTAATCGTAACAATTATCAGCCGATGGATCCCATCCCACCAACACGACACTTGACGACATGAACATTGTCACGCTTCTGCCCCATCAACCCCCATCCAACCCAACCATGGGGGGGTGATAAAATTTTGTTGCCTAGTGTAATGCTTAACGATTGCTGTGTGTTCATTGACTTTCGGTGGGGGGGGGGGTTCGCATCTACCGATTTTGTTGAGTAGGCTAATGTCCCTTCACCTCTCTGCCCATCTCTCCCCATCCCTTTTTGTGCCATGTGTGCGTGTGTGTGTGTCTGCGTATTTGGGTGGGGCTTATCGCTCTTATCGGGACAATAATTCCCCTGATAAGCGCACATTGCGCACTTTCTGCCTGCCTGATGCCCCCATGAATCAGTCGCTGTGCCCGTCAGCGTGATTTGGCTTTTATCTCTATCGCTTTCGGTTTCTCACTTGCCCTCTTACGCTATGTTGTGGCGGTCAGCCTTAAGGCATTTCCCAAAATTTTTTTTTTATTTTTTTGGCGTTTCTTACGTATAATTTATTGTATGTTGATTAGTTGGCAGGTGTTTAATACAAATTCTAGGAGACTTACTCGTGTGTCGAACGGGGGCTATAAATTATTCGGTAAAAAAAGAAAAAGAAAAAAAATAGAAGGAGAAATGGGTGTGAAGACTTTGAACTAGCGGCTATATATAATAAATAAATTTATTCAGGTTTTTTTTGGTCTCATAGAAAAACATTTAAGTTATTTTTAAATATTTAATGTCGAATTTATTCCCATTAAAAAATACTCAAAAAATGTACATACATATTTGGATTTTAATTCTCTTTTAATTGGTAACAATTTTTATGATGACTATACAAAAATTTATCACAACGAAAATTATCTTATCAAAAGAGCCAAAAGTCTGAAACAATTTTAATTTTTTTATGGATTCATTGGATACAAAAAGGCCTTTGTATCGCAAGGCCAGCGACGCGACTCTGCAGTGACGTGTAGAGCCAGCCGCCTTTTGTGGGGCAATATATGTATCAAAATAATTATGATAAGCGTTTGGGCCGCATGCTGCATATGCAATCAATCATGGGGCATAGCCAGTGCCAGTGCCAGTGCCAGTGCTATTCAGATTGATTGCCAATTGTTGATGGAAAACGGCATGGAATTCTTGTTGACGGATATCATCATTGCAGAGAAAATCGAAACGAAACGAATCGAATCGAAACGAAACGAAACGGAGCTGTTGACATTGTCCACCATTGTCGTCGGACCGGACGGAGAAAAACTTATTTTCACACGTACATATCTCTTTCCAGCTCTGCTTATTTTGTCTGCTTGGGGGTTTTCCTTCTGCTGGGGCTCAGTTACTCCCACCAATTTTTCGCCACCCCTCCTTCATTTCGTTGGCTGAGCAAACACTATGGCGGCGGGGGCCAGGGCAAGTAGATTTCTTTTGTCACGACTCAGACAGCTCCTGGCCGCCATATATTTCTCGTGGACCAACTCGAAAAGCTCCTGCTGAAAGTAGCCATGCTCGTGGTAGTGCGAATCCTTGTGACCGTTGCGTCGTATTTGCTTATCCCTCAGCCGGAACTCTCGCCACAGCAACTGCAACTGCAGCCACTTTTTGGCAATAAAGTCCAACGTTTTACGCTCGAACGGTGTCTTCTTGTAGTTGGAAATTGCATGGAAAATGAAATTTGCATTGATTTGTTGCTGCAGCGCCAATTGATCCAAGGCCACCAGCAGCCCGCTATCATCCACGTCCCCCCCACCAGCCATGGCTGGATTCCTCGCCCCACTCAGCTTCATTGCCACAATGTTGGGCATAATTTCTGCCTGTTTTTTGTTTTTTACTGTCACTTGCTTTAATTTATATATCTGCTTTCAGATAGTTTTTAATTTATATGTTTCGCTCGCCCCACGCACTTTCACTGGGGAAGGTTCCACAACTAAATGCCGCTGAAGCGCTGATTCTTCAATGCTTTTATAGCACTTTTCGCCCCCCCTAGTTTTTTTTTTTTTGCCTTTTTGTATGACTTTGATAAACAACTAGGCACAAAAAAAAAAGAATTGTCGCTGAATGTGTGTATTTATTTATAGGTAACTTTTTGCCCACTGATTGTCGCGATTGCGTTTGATGAGGTAAGCGCCAGGTGACGGACGGCGACGATTCACGTGAGTGGCGTTGGCTTTTCTACTGTCTAAACGGGAAAGTAGTTGGCACAAATTGAGCTGTATTAATTGTATCATTAATTATTTTAAATTCATTTTAACAAATTTTCTAATAGTTGAGTTTGGTATTTTCTGTAATATTTTCCTGTTACCGGGTAAAGCTGCAGGCAGAAGATTCGATTTATATTTATAAAAAATAATTATTTTATTATAATTTTTTTAAATTATTTTATTTCATTTATTTTTTTAACTATTCTAGATGCAGAGCGTAAATGATATCGAGAGATATTTTTCGATAGGAAACAAAAATGCTGACAAAAATGTATTCTCATTCTTTATCCTCTCTCGTACCTGTTTACGCTCTGTCTATTTAAAATTTACTACCATAAATACTCGTTTAGTCTTTCAACATAAATCCGATATCATCGATATCAAAGTTTTAGTTAAATCAAAATTAAATGTATTAGATATTTTGACCTCCATTTCAAGAAAAAGTCGTCCACAATCAGCCTAAATATTCTTGAAGGTTGTTCTTCTAACCCATTTCCCCACTCGAATCTAAATTTACTTATGACACCACCCAAAAGTTCCCCATAATAAAATAGCCCCCAATACAATAAATGTAAAAAAAAAATATTAAAGATAACCAATGCAAAAAAACGTGACCCACGCACGGGAGGGGAATTCCTAAATGACCAACGCAAAAACACTTGAGGGACAACTATTTCTGTTCCAAAAATCAAAAATCAATCCAACGATAAGATATGAGTGCAAAGCTCACTGAATTTGATTTGTGATTCGATTTCTGAGACGCTTATCGCGCAGTGGGAAAGGCCATAAGCTGTCTGCAGCTGTCCGTCTGTTTTCTTGTGGGGGAAAACTCAATTAAATGCCAAACAATTAGCTTGTTTTTCCTGCTGTTTTGTCGGGATAAACAATTGTGTGTTAACCAAATAATGTGGCTAAACAGCTAATAAAAACGAAGGCCACACAAAATACAACAAAACTAATTCGAGCCAAAAAAAGAGAGCAACAGAAGAAGAAAAAACAAAAACCAATCAACCATCGGTCTTGGCCATTGGCTTACACGAGTATCTTTGCCCGTAATTTGCTTCGATTACGAGGAGCTGAGCGAAATAAAATTGAGGGTGCAAAAACGGCACTGAAACAGAATTAAGACCGCAAATTTATGTGGTGGCAATGTGCCCCGAGGTGTGGCACGGAACGGAGCAGGACACCAAATGTGGCCAAAAGACAAATGTCTTTGTTTTTTTCGTAGTTCCAGAGGCTTGAAGGCAGCAGATAGCATATGATAGGGCGGCCATACAAATGAAATATTGGAGGGGGAAACGTACTATATGTAATTTTGTAGAAGTAGATTTATTCCGATTTATGCACGTATATTTGTAGAAAAATATAATAGCTCCATTGGAATTTATGTGATATACTTTTAGGCGACGAATTAGAAATTCTTGAAGGAAAATTTAAGGCAAAATTATCTACAGATTTGCTTGAGTTTTTAATGCTATATCTAAGAACTTACGTTATATATAGGCGAGTTTCAGGTTTACTGGAATAATTTCTATCAATTTCCAGTAAAATACCTTATATAAATATAAAGCTTTGGGAATTTTTCAACAAATTTCGATTATTTTCAAAGATGTTTCTTAAATTTCCCATTCCCTAGTCACGCTTTTGCATAATCTTTTGCAATCTGCCTGCCCCCACCCCTGCCACATTGATAGGTCCGAGAACCTGAACAATCAACTCAAATTGATGTACATTAAAGGCTCCAGCCCCCCGGTCCGCGGTTGCCAGGCCGCCCAATGCCACACCCACGTATACCGCTTTCGTGACAGCAGGAAACCATCTAAAATGGGGCCCTGTCCAGACCGCCAAAAGTACGGCCCACTAAGAAAGTAAGAAATAAATTTATGTAAAGCAAGAACAAGGTAGACAGACGACACGACACCCCCGCGACGCCACGCTTTCGGCGGTAGGCTGTTCAAATGGCGGGCGAGTGGGAGTTGAAGAAAAAATATAAACAGCTATAAAAAACAAGGTAAAACGAAAGCTAAATGAAGGCTACGCATGTTGGATGCTCTTTGAAGCTCAGTTGGTAGTCAAAAATAAAGGAAATGGCTCGGAAATGAGTGAGTGATATAATAATAAATAAATAATATAAATAAAGCAAATAATACAAATATTTAGTACAGTTTTTGTTTCCGAATTTCCTCAAAACTAAACACCCAAAAATTGCAAAAAATATTTTTTTTAGAATTTTTCTAATTAAATCATATTAATAATAATAATTAATAATAATTAAATAATATTAATACACAGGTCAGTAGTCTTGCAGAAGCGCCTCTCTGTCTTATAATTAAATTTTTAAGTCATTCAAATCCAACCATAAAAGTTTGGGTACTCTTTTCGGTAGAGTATTAGATGAGTAGCACATTTTAGAGGCTGTACGCGCACTTTAATAAGATTTATTAAGTCGCGGAGCCTCCGACATTGACTTGGTCCTTGCCATCCCGGGTCCTTGGCAGTGTCTTAACCAAAAAATGGCAAACAGCAGAGGTTGGTGAGGAAGAGGAGTGGAAGGAGGAGGAAGAGGAGCAGGAGGAGGTGGCAGAGGATTGCCTGTACCGCGCTGTAAATATTTGTTACTCCAACTCTTGCCCGACCACCGACCGACGCTGTTTGCGTTTTGTGTTGTGTTCTGTTCGGCTGTTTGTTCTCCCTTGTTTCTCTTTCTCTTTCGCTCTATCTCTATCGTTGCTTCCCTTTCGCTCTCAGTCTCTTTGTGTTTATTTTGCAGCTAATAAAAAGTTGATGTGTTGCTACTGTGTAGCATTTTTTCGGTACCCTCCTTTTTCTATGAAAGTAAACTTCTGGTTGGCGCCTAAAAGCCGGCAATGAACTTTCGCTTGCAATTTTGGCTGCCTCTTTTGAGGCTCAGTAAAGGCATAGCATATGGCAGTGCATATCGAAGGGGTGTGTGGGTGTGGGAACTGTTGCTGTTTAATGGAGCCCGCTGTAATTTTTGTTTGTTTTCTGTTTCTGGATTGGCATTTCATTGGCCAATGTTTTTTTTCCTCTTCGATGCGAGTGTGTGTGTGTACGTACATGCCTTTAATTGTCTGGTAATTAGTTTTTGTGGTTTTGAAAGATAAGAGCCCCTTATCAGTACGCTTGATAATTTAATTGGAACTACGAGAACACGTTATATTATATGATATGTCTATAAAACTGATTTAGTTGTCCAATTCCCAGAAAACTTTTGTGGCACTGATAGCCATTCTTTTCGTTTATATTTTGATAGCAGCTTAATACTCGCGGGCAGAATAGTTTTTGGGGAATTCAATTAGCTGCCACTCAACCCAAAAGTTGTTGAAATCTTATCAAAAAAAAAACGTACTCAAAAAGGTTCAAAGAATTATTGAGTGATTGTTTGGATATTCTTAGTAGCTTAAACTTCAGGTTTTTTCTGATAATAAAATGATAGGTATTTGTTTTAGAAGTAGCACTCGCTGGTACATGGATTTACTTTCTTGTAAGCAACTGCTATGAACCTAATCATAGCCACCTACCCACCCTCTTACCCCTACCTTACTCACATAAAACACATTGGAGACGAGCCGGCTCGACTGCAAGCAATTGCTTAGCCTTTGTTGACCCCCTTCTGTTCTTGTGTGTTTCGGGTTTTTTTGTATCATAAAAACCAAATTTAATAAATATTTGGGGCTTTCAGCAACAGCAGCAGCAGGAGGCAGTCGACCATTCAAAAAAAAAAGTGAGCGAGAAAAATGAAGAGGCAGAGGTTAGGGGGGAGAGAGAATGGAAGTCAAGCGGAGGCGGAGCGTCATATAAAATTGATGCCCTTGTCGTCTGGTGGTGCCACCTGGCTGGCATCTCTCTCTCTCTCTCTCAGTGGGGTTGCCCTCTCTTTCACACGAACGTAGCAGTGCCAGTGCCAGTGTGCCAGTAAATAATGTAATAATCTGGGCCCCGTGGTCCGTGGGACCCCATAAACCGAAATTTATGCACGAAATTCAATTATGCTTAAAATGTGGTTAATAGGCCCGACACACTGGTGGTTGGTGGCTTGGTTGCTGCTCTCCATGGCAACAATGGGGCATGCAGTAACCCATGGGAAAAACACATACGCATCTAATGAAATTTATTAAATATTATTCAACATATTCCTGGCACCCATTGGCCCCCTTTGCCTTTGAAATTAGACATCGTTATGTTTGCTATTTAATAAACAAATTTTGTCTATCTTTTTGTTGTTGTTGTTGTTCAACTTTTTATGGGGCTCATATGAAGTCTCGTGTCCGTTAACCAGAAATTGTTTGTTGCAGAGTTTTATGATGCATGCCACCCACAAAAGACAAATAACAAATAGCCAAGGGGAATGGGAATGGGCACGGCTTTTGTTTCGCCTTTTTGTTCATATATTATTTTTTTTTTGTGCATATTCTCATCTCTTTTTTATGATTTAGTAGATTTTTCAGAGAGTGGTTTATGAGTGGGTCATTCTGCCATTATTTAGCCATAACTCGACAAAAAGGTAAAGTTAATTTGGACACACAAAAGTGTGAGAGGGAACGGGACCATAAAATGAAATGAGTAATGGGGGAAAAAAAAACTAACAGAGGGTTTAACTTTTTAATGCTCTTACCGACCATCTAACCATCTAAAGCAGCACTCTCCATCTCTCTCTCTCTCTTTCTCTCATCTAGGCCTTTGGCAATAAACGAATCCAC